TGTTAACACAGGGCGATCCTCATGTCTTAGAGCTACCGAATCACCTGCAGAACCCTCCAGCAGAGCTTTGTAGAGGCAGCTGCGTGCATCTCGAGAGAAGTGTGACACCCTGCCTCTGTGCAAGCAAGCGGGGTTGCAGATTGCACCTCTCTTTCTAAATGCTCATGCTTCCTGTTTCCCAGGAGCACATTTAAGAGGCAGAACAGGCAAGGGTACAGGTGCTGTACCCATTATGATACACGGAGCACACCTTGCCGCCGCCACAGGCCTTGTAACAGCTCAAGAGGGCTCCAGCTACTGCTTCCTCCTTGCCCCATGTGGAGATCGCTGGAACACAGCATGCCCTCCAGCTCACACACCAAATATCGTGGCTGTTCTCCATGTTCCAAGCCCAGATCGAGTACAATCAAGCAGACACTGCTTTGATCTGAATTGCAGAACCATCCTGTTTTAGCTGCAGTTCCACTCCCCACACCATGACCCAAGCCCATCCCTGGCTCAAGGTCCCCTCCCCAGAGCCAGAACATTCCCTGAGGGGCTGCTGGTATCCACTCACTCCTCCCGCAGCAGAAGCCCTCGCTGGCCTTTTACGTTTTACTCCAGAGCTTGTCGCTTCACTTTATTTCTTTATGAAGACGCTGGAGTGTCCCTTGGTGTCAGGTACATACCTTAACTCTTTAAGCAAGATGTGTCACAATCAACACCGGCCTCACCTCTTCCTGTCTGCACGCCATGGTGAGCACCACCAACACCTAATCCTGGAATCCATCCATGCAACTGCCGTATCACCAGTTGAGCAGCTGTTTCAGTAAAAAAATACAGGCATTTCTCTACATTTGATTCCAGATCCAAACCATTTTTGCATGTTTTTTTGGAGAATGGGAACACATGGAAAACACTTTTTGCCATTTATTTTACAACCGGATTACAGATACATTTTATTGTCTACAATTCTGGGTTGTCATAGTATACAGTGTAATTTGCATGGAACATTAAAATAATAGAATAATTAAAACTTTGTCTTGCTGTCTCTTTGTAGAAAACCAAGTTAGTCAAGAAAAAATTAGCTAAGTAACATTATTTAGTATTTATTAACATGTGCATGCCCCTCTGCCTTTAATAAGATCTGCAACGAGCATTAAAAGCTATTTTTGCCGGTGCTGTAGAGCAGATTTGTCCTATTAAAGCCATTACTTCAATCACCAAACCTGAAGTGCTGCGATTTAGAACATTAACTCAGCACACGCAGCAATCACCACTGCTGCCGAAAACTGACTGTAACAGCCACCACCGCAGTGAACCGGAGGGACTGAGGCCCCAGCCCTGCCAAGAGAGGTTACACAAATAAGCTGTGTGGCTACATAAGAAAGTTGTTCAAGTATCATTTCCCCTAAACAGAAACAGGAAACTCTTTCTGCATCCTCAAAGCCACTCCATCATGAAAGAGGGAGCTGAGGATAAGAGCGTTAATTGACCAAACCACCCAATAACGTTATAGAAGTTCTCTCATCTTAGTGAGGGTCCCAAATTTACCACCGAGATTCGGTGTCATACAAAAAATATCGTATACAGGTGTGGAATAAAAATTAGAAATTATCTGAATAGACATGAGGCCTATTCAGCTAAACATATTGTTTGCATTTATCCAAAACTAGTTCTATCATCACTCACTTGGTAGCCTGGCACGTTCTCCATCTTACAGAAAACACTGCACTGGCAACTCGAGCAATCGCAAATCATCTTGCTGAATTAAGCAGGGCAGCCGTGCTAGTACTGTAATAAACCAAATACATTTATATTGCATCTGCATTAAGTTCTAGTTGTGCAGAAACCCCTTGCCTCCAGATTTTCACAAATCTGTATGCCTGACATGGGTTTTTTTGCAGGAGAACACAAATCACCTGTTTTGTCAAAACCAGCTCTTCCAATCCTACTTACACCACATTAAAACGTAACAATTCCATAATTTACCTAGAAATGCACTTTAAAATAAAATAAATTTAAAAAAAAATAAAATCAAACAACCAAAACAACCCCAGACCCACAAAGCTGATGTTTCTTTGCAGATCGTTTGTCTCCAAACCAGCCCAGACCACAACAGTCTGGCAAAGGCTACTACTTACTACTAAAATAGGGGAGGAAAGACAGGGGGAAATCAGAAAAACAGAGAGAGAGAGCACACCATATAGAAAATGTCAAATATGTCAAAACATTCATGAACACCAACATCTCCCTCTGCACCACAACCAGCTGTAAAGGTTACGTAGGGCTAACGTTTCAGCAAGTGCAGATTATGCAGCAGTGGGTTTACTTATACATAAAAAAAATCAGCTACAGGTGCATCCAAAGTGTTTTCACGTATGCAGCCGGCACAGAGATTTCTACCATCACAGAAGTCAGAAGGGTAAAATCACACAAAACATGAATTTTCCAGCTTTGACACAAATTCCTCTTGGCTGCTCGCTATGTATGTGACATATACAATGAGGATAATTAGGTAAAAGACTAAGAAAGCAAATGTTGCTGATTGCATTCCAAAACTAATAAAGCTCCTACACGGGTCTCGTGCCTGCAGTAATTCATCTTCCTGGTGCTACGCTCAGGAAAGGTGGTTTCAGAATACGTCGCGACACTTTCTTGTCCCTAAGTCACTGATGGTGAATTATATCAGAATTACCTCAGATGAGCACAGTTTTATGGAACTTGAAGCGTAACACATGCAAGGCATACACAGCATTACCCAGGCCCCCAGATAAATGGAGCTTAAATTAAATATCTCAAGTTGAATACGATGTACTGTATAAGCAAACACCTGCCCTGAGCTCATCCCCAGTTTGTTTGTCAAGTGTGTAAAACCTGGTGTGCGTGGGGGGAAATGCCACCTTTGTGTAATCTTCTCATCCTTCCACAGCAGGAGGAGAAAAGTGCCCAGTGTGGAGAGAAACAACAGGACCATCCACCACAGACCCGCATGGGCTTTGCTGGAGATAGAAATGTGACTTTTGGATAGAAAAAGCATGCAACAGTGTATTGAAGGATTAACTCTCCTGCGGACAGTGCAATTGTATGAGAGAGGGAAAAAAGTGAGGTTCAAATCAACCCAGCGGCCTGATAACAAACTACAAAAAGGAAATCCTGAGGGAACAGAATGGAATGGGTTTTGTCTGCTTTCTCACACTAGACAAACAGAAAAAGCAGTAACAGGTTTTATAACCAGCACAGAACTAAAATAATTAAGACAATCACTAATCGAAAACATTGTAAGCTTGCAGAAATAAAACCCTTTCATAAATCCTCCTAGTGATACTACCACTTAAAAACTACTCCTTCAGTTCCATATTCTGTGTTGAGCTTCCATTACAAACATTTTTTTAAGTGTCTCCACACAGTGCTTGCTTCTTTCCTTCCTTCTTTCCTTCTCTTTCTCCTTTCCGGGGGTCTGCAGAGCCAGGAATAACACAGACTCCTGTCAGGGAGCCCCGAGACTCTGGTAGCCCTTTTCTCTCGGCCCTGCCTAGCCTGCCGCAGGAGACCCCCTCCCGCGGCACGCCGGGCACCGCGACGTGGCCTCCCGCGCCATCCGTGCGGTGCCCAGTGCTTAGTGCCCAGAGATTAGTGCCCAGCCCGCCCCTGGTCACCCCGGTACCGCGCCGGGCCCACCAGTTGGGAACCGCCGGAAGAGGATAAACCCCGACAGCGAAAGGAAAGGACCGCCGGGTGCGAGGCGGCTACTCCGGTGGGAGGGCTCCTACTCTCCCCCAGCTGCGGGTCATTAACGGCGCTGGAAAAGTTCTCGCCGAAGCCGCCTCGGGGAGCATTCGTTCAGGGAAAGCAGCTGGTGTTAGAGGGGAAACGGGAGCGGCAGAGGCTGCGGTGAGAGCTGAAGTCCCGGCAAGCTCAGCCCCGCGCCGGCGGCAGCACTGAGCTCCGGGAGACAGCGCCCGACCTTGTCCCGCGCCGCACCGCTCACCGGCGGCTCTGGCTGATGGCCCCGTCTCACGGTTCTTCTTACGAATCCCTCGCCTAACCAACAGCCACCAAGTCCCTATCCAACAAACCCAGGGAGTCCCTTCCACTAACCCACCCACCCACCGAACAGCTCCAGGGCTCGCAGCTCGCCCGCGCCTCCCGCAGCGAACCGGGGTACCGACCGGCCGCCGACCGCAGCCCGCCGACGGGCCAGCACCCCGGGGGTCACACACACACCCACTACGGCAACGATTCCCTTGCTTCCGCGGGTGAGCGGTGGGCGCGGGAGGTGCGCGGTCCCTCGCTTCCCCGCATCTCTCACAACCCGCATTTGTCTCCCGTGGGTCTCTCCATGGCAAAATGATTTCGGGGTTTGCACTTTATCCCCCCGGGCATTTGATTTGATTTTTTTTTTTTTTTTCGTGGCGCAAGAGGCTGAAGTTTCCTAAATCCCCAGCCGTGCCGACGGAATGGAGTTCCCTCCTCCCGTTCTGTCCTCTTTCCCGGGACACCCGTGCAGTGTTGAGTATCCCCGTCTCACGCCAAGCCCCCTTTCTCCCCGTGCCCCCCGGGAAGCTCCTCAGCGCTCAGTGGAGCCGCCCGCTCCGGGAAGATTCCTGGGAACCGGGACTATTTGGGAGGCAACGAACGAGCAGCCCGGGCGCAGGCACCCCCTGGCCGAGCCCCCCCTTTGCTACGCTATCCCCGAGCTCCCGGGGAGCCGAGCTCGGGGTCCGCGGTGAAGGCGCTCGCCTCAATGGGCGGTCTGGGGATGTCGGGGCGCCGGAGGGAGCGACGCGGGGGGGAAGAACCCACCTCCGCGCGGCGGCTTCTCATCTTCCTCTTCCTCCCGCGAAGCAGAGCGCCGGCGGCCCCGCGGCTGGAGGGGAACCGCCAGCTCGCCCGTCTGTCCGTCCGTCTGTCCGTTCGTCCTCGGGGCGGCTCGCTCCGGCTTCGGCACCGGCACCGTCCCGCGTGGGGGAGGCGGGAGGCTCCGCTCCCCACTTCGGCGGAAAGAAGGCGAAATTCCATTCGTTTACATGTTTTATTGTTGTAAACATTAAAATCGTCTTTCTCAAAGAAAGAGTTATCGAGAGGGAAATAATGAAATAAAACAAATAAATCAGCGTTTCAAACGGTCGTACACCACGGGGGGGGGGGGGGGGGGGGGGGGGAAGGCAGTGACTCGTACCGTGTGCCACACCGGAAACGTACAAAGAAAACCACCACAGAATATGGCAATATTAAAAATATTACTCGAAAGTAAAATAATATATTAACCGACAATTTTAGACATAAAAAACCGGAACAAAACAAACCAAAAATTCAAAGTGCTCAGTAATTTCCAGGGAGTTATGTATATTATAAGCACTCTGGAAACAGTCAAAAGCTGCTGCATGCAAGATTTGTTTAGCTTTAGACAACAAAATAATCAAGATATAAACTTCTTTTTTTAATCAACATCAACAGTACATACAACACTTACAAACAAGGGGTGTCGGACGGTGTTTACAAACACGATGTGTCCCACTGGGGAGGAGTTCAGGGTTTGTAATACTTGTGCCCACCTATTTTACAATTGAGAAAATGTTTGAAGCTTAGATAACTACCAGTCTTTATAAAAGCTAACAGACTACATAGTGTCTGAAATACTATTTATAGAATATAGACATTACTGAAATAGCAAGTGCCTATAACATTGTCACCCTAGAGTCATCATCATGCTTTCCTGGTACAGAGAGATTTAGTTTTCTTTCTCTTTAGTCTTTCTCTTTTTTCTTTTTATTTTTTTTTTTTGCAAACACGTTTAGCTTTTATTTTTAATTATTTTTTTAGAATTGTTTTCCATATTTCTTTGTAAATAGGCACAGAATAATTTTTAAAAAGCCAAACTGCATCTGATAAATTTACAAGCCTTCGCCTTCTTTAATGACATGCCACCCACGTAACATTTAGGTTGTGTATATATTACAGCTTTCTTTTACAGCAGAAAACTTTAGTCTTTAGGAGGGTGAGACTTGTGGGTCACCTTAACACTGTCACTGTGTGAGTCTTAGCTGCGTTGCCAGATATGTTCATCTTTTTAATCAGAAGTCCTTAATAATAAATTCATTTATAAGCTGATAATAAAAAGTTTATACCATGGTGTTGTGTAGTCCATGATCTGCATCCATGATGGCCCAGAGCCAAAATGCCCGCTCAGGTTCTGCCTGCAGGAGTTAGCAACACTGGGTTGGGGGGGGGGGGGGGGGGGGGGGGAGGTGAGCACCCAGGGGTGCCACTAGGGGCCCAGGCCAAGTCCCCTTCAGCCAGGTGACATTTCTGTTCAGTGCAAGTGCACAGGAAGAGTCTTAAAAAGGTAAAGTGTCCAGAAAAAGTTTGTCGATTATTGCTGGCGGTGGCACCAAATCTTCCAGTTTCAGGTAGAAAATGCGCTGCAGCCCCTGCGTGCAAAGCGTGCGGAGTTCGGGGAGCTTCCCCAAGAGTTTGGACAAGTAGTTGGGGCGATTCAGCCCCCCGTTATTAAAAGTCACATGGTCTTTCAGACAATTCACAATCTTGTTTTGAAGCTCTTCCACCCTCTTGGGTTCTTTAAGCCCATGCCGCTCTGTAAAACAGAAGGATGTGGGAGGTTATGGGTGGGAGAGGGAGAGGAAGGTGGCAGGAGGGGAATGGGAGTTGCCAGGGGGCTGAGGGGCACTGACCTGTGACCATGGCCAGGGCAGCGATGCAAGAGAAGGCAGAGATATCGATGTTCATGTTTTGCAAGTTGGAGGAAAATTCAACAATGGAATCAATCCACTCCCCAAAGCCGCGGACGCACTGCAACCGGTGCAGGACTACCCCGTTGCAGAAGATAAGCTTGCCCTCCACTGGGTTTGACCTGGAAGGAATGTGACATCCCCAACATGAGCAGATGAATGAATGAGTAAAAAGGAAAAAAATCAAATAGAGGAAGAAAAGAAAGAGTAGGAGAAAAAGAGAGAAGGACAAAAGATAAAGAGGGAAGGTGAGAAAGAGGGAACAGTGGGAGAGAGAAAGGAGAAAAGGGGGGAAAGAGAGAAACAGGCAAGGGGAGAAAGAAATAGACAAGGGGGAAAGAAAGAAAGAGGCAAGGCATGGAAGTGTTAGAGCTAGAGATAGGTGGAGGCACAGAGATATAGAGATAGAGATATAGAAATAGAGATGGAAAAATAGAGAAGAGTAAAAGAGAATAAAAGAACAGAGAAGAAAGATTTAAAAACAAAAGGAAAAGAGAAGATGGGGTGAGAAAAGCTAAACAGCTAATTACTTGAAGAGCAATAAATGAAGGATTTAAGAGGCACCTAATTACTGAGGAGTTAATAAAATGCAGATCAGTGGACCCTGAAAGGATCTGATTCCATAACGGCCCAGAAGCCCCCCTCGGGTCCAGGCACTCACCTGTATGCCAGCCGCAGCACAAACAGCTCCAGGAAGGCAGATTCGAAGAGTAGGTCCTGGTCTGTCTTTGGGAGGTCAGTGAAGCCAGGGATTTTTTCTGCCCATCCTCGGATGATCTCCATAGAGCCAGTCAGGAGATCGTAGAACTGCTGGATGTGCTGAGTGTCATCTCCACTTATCTGGTAGTCGGGGTTAGCCTGGAACTGGAAATCCATTTTGAAAAGCGCTTAATGAGGTTCTCTAAAGTATATAACCCGTGAAATTGCTAGCCCCGTTTCTAGTCGGGGAGCTGGGTTTTTACAACAATTAAACCTCACTCTGACCAGGGAGAAAATTAGACGTTCTGGGGCAATTAATCCGGTTAGGAGCAGCACTCCAAGGCGGCCGCTCTCTGCACACAGAGGCCAGTGTGTGCATGGCCCGTGTGCAGCCACAGGCAGAGCCCCTGCCGTTTGCCCCAGAGCTGGCCCAGGGCAGGGGGGGGCAGCCGGGTCACCTCTCCCGGGCCACGGGGCGCAGGTAAGTCCCTACGCGAGCTCGGTCCAGCTTACCCTGGAATAGTCCAGGCTGGTCATAGCCGGGTTGGAGTCGACATGGGCTCTCACCAGCGCACTGATCAGACTCACCGGGGGAGAGGGGGGAGAGGGCTCCTGGGGGCTCTTCGGTTTGGATGGCAGGCGACCCCTCCGGCCTTTGAGGCTGTCTGTGCGCACCACTGCAAGAGAGACAGGGCTCAGCCAGGGCCCGGCGCGGTACAGCCCAGCATGGCTTGGGAAGCACGGCTCCCACAGACTCACACTCACCCTCCTTCACCATGCCGACGGCCAGGCACTTCTGGAAGCGGCAGTACTGGCAGCGGTTGCGGCGGCGCTTGTCCACCGGGCAATTCTTGTTGGCCAGGCAGACGTACTTGGCATTCTTCTGCACTGTGCGCTGTGGGGGGGACAGGACCAGGCAAGCAGCATCAGTGGTCAGGTCCAGAGGTCCACTCCTGGGCCACCTCGATCTCCCCAGCCTCTGTCTTTACTTCTTATTCCCCCCCCCCCCCTCTTTTTTTTCTCCTTTTTTTTTTTTTTTCCCCCTTTCCCAGGGCATTTAACAGGAGAAAATTGATAGCGTTAACATTTGAGCTAACCTTGCAGCTCCTAGCTGTGTTTTATATGCCAAGAGGAGGAAAGGAGACGCTCGGTAAATACAAATCCGTGGGCATTCATATTATTTACATTCCTTGGAGACCTCCTCTATTTAAAATGATAAGATTATTCAATCAGGATGGTGAAATAAAGAGATCACTTAATGTTACCACAGGGAATTCTGTTCCACATGGTTAGCTCAGACGCAGCTCTCTGTCCTAACCGATTTCCGTCTGAAGGGGAAAGCGGCTGCTGGCCCCAGTGCCCCCCCGCTGCCCTGCCTGTCACCCGCTGCCCATTGCCGATCACCCACAGCTCACCTTGAAGAAGCCCTTGCAGCCCTCGCAGGTACGAACACCATAGTGCTGGCAGGCAGCGTTGTCCCCACAGACAGCACAGAGCCCCTCGTTGGAGGGGGACCCCCGTGAGGGTGGCGAGGGCACCTGGCTCTCCAGCAGCTGCGGAGCATGGCCCAGCTGCAGCCCCGGGAAGGCCATGGAGGGCTGCTTGCGAATGGGGTTGGGGACTGCAAAGGCCTGTCCGTCCACAGTGTGGTGGGCCCCGGCTGGCTCGGGGTTCATGGGGACATGGAGTGGCCCGTCAAAGCGCATCTGGCAGCTGGAGACAGGGGTGCCGGGGGGCGACTGCTTGAAGGAGAAGAGGGAGAGGCGGGAGACAGGCGTTTTGCGTTGCTCGAGCATGTGCGTGGTGGCCACATAGTTGGGGTGGAAGTTGTGCAGGGAGCCAGGGTCGTCCCACACGGGGCCGTGCTGCACCTGGAAGCCGGGCGTAGAGGGGGTCGGGGGCGACGAGGGCTTGTAGTACACGGAGCCTGAGTGGGACATCATCTCCTCGGACTGAGAGGGGAGGTGGCCGTGCTGCTGGTAGCCATGCATCTGAATGTCTTCCACCTTAATGGAGGACTGCTGTCCGGAGAGGGGCATTTGGTACAAGCAAGGTGGCTTCACGTCGTAGCTTGTGTTGTAGTTGTCCATAAAGGTACTGAAGCTGGGGAGAGAAGTGGTGGCAGTGATTTCAGTGTTGGTGAGGTCCATGCTAAACTTGACAAACTCCGGAGTTAAGAAATCGGAGCTGTATTCTCCCGAAGAGTGGTAATTGTAGCTCTGGGAGGCCGGGCTGGCTCCTTGAGGCGAGGACCCATACTGAGCCTGAACACAGGGCATGGCTGGAAACGAAACATGGTCATGTACACTCGGCCGCACAACGCGCTCCCTCCGCCCGCCCCGTCTCGTCCCGCCCTGCTCCGCGCCGGGCACCGCGATCCACTGCCGCGGGGGAGGAACGGGGTCGGCGGCGAGAACCCCCCTTCCTCACCGCGGGAAAGAACCGCACAAACCTTCAGCCGGGTGAGAGGCGTTTTCGGGAGAGCCGAAGGCGGACAGCGTCGGAGCTCAGCGGGGAGCGGAGTTTCCGCGGCTTCAGAGCACGAAGGAGGGCTCCAGCCTGCCCGGCGCGCTGGCTGAAACACAGACACACCGACCGGCTCTTCAGGCGTTACGGGGCGGCGGCGGAGCGCGTAGAGTCCCTGGGTTGGGCTCGGCTCGGGGGGGGGGGCTTTATAAATTGGGAGGAAACTTTCCACCGGCGGCTGCGCTCGGCTCTCGGCCACCGCCGGGGTTGCCCCGCGGTGTCAGGTGGAGACAAGCCGGTCCGGTTTTCCGCCTCTACCGGCAATGCGAGAGGCGCGTCCCCCGGGGGGAAGCCGGGCGAACAGCCGAGGCTCTCGGGGACCGCGAGCCGCCGCCGGTGCTGGGAGAGTTGACAGCCCGCACCGGGCAGCCCACGGGTGACACGCGGCCACGGGCGGTCAGTCCCGGGCTGGAGAAACGCCGGGCGCGCCGCGGCACCCTGCTCCCACGGGCGATCGGAGGAACGGGAGCGCGAAGGCGCCGCCGCTACCCCACGCCCCCCTCCAGCGCCTCGCGCGTGGAAACCCGGTGTGAGCGTGGGAACGGGGGCGGACGGACCGGTTGCGCACGCGGGCACTCACCGTAGAGCGGCGGCCCGTGCGCGCATCCAAGTGCCGGGCGGCGGCGGCAGGCAGAGCGGCGTCGGCGTCAGCGTCGCGCCGGGCGGGCGAGGCGGGTGGACTGGCCCTTCCCCGCAATGTGCCTTTGTTTATGTGGGCTCCCCGCTCCACAGCCAACGTGCGCCTCGAGCCCCTGCGCGTCACCGCGCGTCACCGCCGCACCCACCAATCCGCTCGCCGAGGGGCCGGCTCGGCCCCGCCCCCGCGGCAGCGCGCTCCCTTTGGTAAATTTCCGACGGTGACGTCACGCAGCGGGACACGCCCCGAGCGGGCGCCCCCTCGGTCGTTCCCCCCTCCGCTCCCACCCCCCGACGGCAGGGGAGCCCACGGTGCCGCAGCAGACCCGCGCCGCTCCTCGCGCCACGTCCACGCGCGGCACCTTAAGCGCGAGCGGGGCGTGGCCTCATTTGCATAGAGGGCGGTTGCGTCACTCGCCGGGCGAAAGGGAAAAAGTGAGTGCGGGGCGTGGCGGCGGCGCGCGTGTTCCCCACCCACCCACCCACCCCGCGTCACCATTGACGCAACCGCCCGACGCGCCAAAAATAGCGCGCGACCCGACGGGAGCTCCCCGGGGCGGCAGCAGCTCCCGGGCACCCGCTGGCGCGGGTCCTCGGGGCCTCCCCACTCTCCCCACACCCGGCTTGTTAGGGGGAAAACCCCTCTCTGTGAAAGCGAGGAGCCGGGAGCCGCCCCACGCCGCCTTTCATCTCTGCTCCCTGCAGACGCACGCAGTGGTCCTTGTTCCACTTCCCACGCAAAACTGAAGCGGGTTTTATTTTATTCGCCCCCTGCGCAATGCCGACACGCCACCCGCGCATTCCCCATTAATAGCGCGAGTCCCAGGCAGCACGGGCCACAGCAGCATCAGGACTCAGAGCAGAACCGTATTTGTGTCCTGGACGGCAGCGTGCTCATTAAAAGCCCATCAGTCATCTTTGCTCCGCAGGGGTGTCGGGCAGCAGCCGCAAGGGGTGTTGGCGGGGTTGCTTGTCCAAAGGGGATGCGGAGGGATGGGAAGGCGTAGTAGGCTGCGGAATGCAGCTCAAACACCAGCTCTGTACTGTCCTGCAAGACTCTCCATTGCATCCAGCCTGCAAAAGAAAAAGGCAGAAGTCAGGTAATGCTGCTTCCTTTCCCACAGGGAACTGAGTCAGTCACATGCACGGTGAGGCCTGGCTGCTCGCAGGTACCTTCTCCGAGATGTTCAGTAGACGCGTGCATGCAATATGTGTTCAAGGCTGGGAGAAGATGCTTCCAGTCAAACTCCATAAGCACCAGTCTGCGCAGGATGACAATAAAAGGCAGCGCTCCCAACATGGCACAGCCTTAACCCAGAAAGTCAACATTTCAACAAAAACCCTACAGAGCACTTCACTATGAACAGTTTATGTGAAACTGTGATCGTTCCTCCTTAATACGTTCCTCTCGCTGTGAGTCCTCACCCTTCACACAGGCTTTTCCCTTTCAGCTCCCAATGTAAAAACTCCAACACCCAACAAAACAAACTGCTTCTACCTCCTGGTTCACTCGCATCCAGAAAGACAATCTCCACTCTGCAGTTGTGCTCTGTTGCTCCTACGGAATTACTATCGAGATCTATCCAAGAGGAGGCAAGATGGTAAAGCTGAGTAAAGAGATCATGTAACGCTGTAAGACTCCTCTGATCTCAAGGGCTGTTTAACCGACGCGTTGGTGGTTTGACATGCTGCTTTGGCTTCACCCGACAGTGCTTGCCCAACGGACGCTGGAGGAGCTCAGGCAGTTACCCTGCACCCATGTGTGCCCTGGGCCACCAGGACCCTGCCACAGAGCTGTCACATCACGATCAGCACCAGCCAAATCACAGCAGTCCATACAGTTTGAATATCACATAAGAAACTTACTGCAAAGGCCCTTTTAGGGATAAGTAACACACCTAATTACCATATCCTTAGAATAGATGTAATATAAATTTCATTACTCACTTAAAAGTTCTAAAGTTAACAGCATAAACTTGAAGTTGAGTAATTAAGTAATCCTTATATAGACACTTATTAAAGTATTTATACATATTATCTTAAATCTACATCTATCATTTTGCCAATTAAAATTAGGACTTTAATTGCAATTAAGTAATTTAATTGCCAATTGAACAGCAAAATTGCTAAGTGACTAATTTTAATGCCTATTTTAATTACCAATCATGACTGGGGAGGGAGCTAATCAAGCAGTATCAGAGTAATGATGTGAAAAAAAAAGGAGAACAAACATTCGAGACTACATGCTTTTAAAAAAGAACTCTAAATTAAATAAATGCAAACACAATTTTACACATGTGGTGAAATGCTGTATTTTGGTGTCTAAATGCAGGAGCACAAAGAACACATTTAATTAAAAAGAACTGCCACTCTCCCCCAGGTGCTGGTGGAAACAGGATGGCATATATGGTCCCCCCACACACAGCAAGGCCCTTAGAAAGTGTTGTGGTGGTCACGGCAGGAGCCCCTGTGAACACATGAGATGCCCTCAACTCCCACAGCCCAGGGTGATGGAGAAACACTGAGCCCGGCCACCACAGGGAGAGGGAGCGCCTTCCTTTCCCATTCCTGGGGCCCATTGTGTCTCTTTCCCCAAAGGAAAAGCAACAGGCACACACATGCACATCACACCTGTGTGCACACATCGCTGTGTCATCACTGCTCCACTCCCATCGCTGGCTAGAAAAAGGTGGATAACTGGCATTTTTGACCTGTCACCAAGCATACTCCAAAAAGTAAAACACATCTTCCTGAAAAGCTCCACCCACTGCTAATGAGGTTTTCCAGCTCGCAGCTCATTAGAACAGCTTCCATGGGATTATGCACTGCAACTGACCCCACAGGCCATATTTGGGGATCCATTCACGTGTTGGCCTGCTTCAGGCACAATTGTTTGCAAGAAAAGCACCAAAATTCATGTCACTCCAATCTGTGAGCATAGCACGTTCCCAAGAGAAGTCACAGAATTTTTAAGGAACTGATCTGTGGTTGCTGTAGTACCTCTAGTAGTAGAAAGACCACCACTGGATCCCAGTCATTGCGATTCAGTTCCTGGCCACCATTCCAGCCAAGCACTGCTGCTTTGAGCAGGGTTCATCATCAGCTTCGCAGCCAGCATGGCCAGACACAGTCAGTGCTGCAGCTCACACCCATGGGAACAACCAAGCATCATAAACTCCATGAAACCCCAGCCTCCAATGTTTTATTAATGCTTAGAGCCTGAACTATGCTATGTGCTGGGCAGCTTTGGGCATAATGGTATTGCAGGGACTCTGCACAAAGGAATCCTTTGTTTTGTACAGAGACAGCCTCAGCTCTCTCTCCTGGGTCAGACATGTGGGTTTGCTGCTTCTCTTCGCCAGGCCAGCAAGCCTTGGCTGGTGCCCGGTACAACAGCAGCCTCACTTGTGCGTATGTGTGAAGAGGGTGCTGCACCAGCAATGCAAGTTCTGCACCAGGACCTTCCCTGTGTGAAAGCACTTTGAATACTTGAGACAAGCATGGGTGTCCCACCCAACCCAGGCAAGTGTTGCAGGATGATGTTTTGGGAGAAGGAAGCTTTATTTCCTCTTCAACAAAGAAAAAGTTTAAGACTTACAAAAAGGTACTGGATATTGGAAGACATGATATGTACGAGTGGCTGATTTGACTCCTATCAGGTGTTCCTGCTACAGGCCAGGAATATGTTACCCTGCCAGAGAATGAGGGGCTTAAGAGACAGATCTGGGTCTCCTGAGCACTCGTGACTGAGTATTCCCGCTCCATGAACACACATGCCACGGACGAATGTTTACACTGACATCCACTGGTGTTATCGCTGAGACATCAAAAATGAGTAGTGCCACTCAGGGTGTGCCTTCCAGAGGGAAAGAAAACTTAACGTGTCTTTTTGTCCAACCCGCACTTATTTGCAGGAGGTGTGAAACCCCAAATGCAAGTTCAAGTGGGGAAGGAGGCAGGATGCATGCTCAGCACCAGACTTGCACCAGCACCTGGGCCCAGCACCACAAACAGCTGCTGAATATCGGTGTCCTCGTGGTGGCTGCAGTGCCAGCAATGACCCCCCCTCCGGGACATACCAGCAGCGCCAGCTCTGGAACAGGGAATGAGAGCACATGCACCATCCGGCTTTCCTTGCAAGCGACATATGCCATGAAGTTGCATGCTGATGTGAAGTTAGATCTCTGACTTGAAGTTAGAGCTGTCAGGGCACAGGAGTGGCTCATCACCAGGCTCGGATGCAAATGGAGCAGCTCACAAGCACCCCGTTATTTTGTATTTTCCTAAAACTTCCACAGGAAGTTCATTTCCCCTCCTTTGCTGCTCTTGGTTGACTCTTGATGCTTAGTGGTGATGGTAGAATTAGATGATACAAAGTATTTATTACTATGATGTCTATTTCTGCTCATATTCTTATTAACGTGATTATTCTATGGAAGACTATAAAGCTGTATTTCTCCTTTCTTCTCGCTACCAGCATGCACGATGAGTCACACATCAGGCTCTGCCTGCTCTGACAGCTGCAAACTCACGCTCCAGTGTTTGAAGCCCGGCTCAGTTCTGCCACATCATTCACCCAACGAAGATCCATTCACCACCTCATCGTTACCTAGGTCAAGGAACCGAGGTCGCACGGAGCCATTGATCTCTCCGAGCTGAGCTGTGACGTTTTTCCTGGGTTACGTTTGATTGATATCCGTCGGGGTGGAAGGCTAAACGGACCATATGGCACGTGTTGCATCCCATATGGTCTCTGCCCATCCGTGCCTAAACTCCCATTAGCAACAGCTGCCCTCCCCGCAATCCAGCTGCGCGGGAGGCGCCGGCGGAGCCGCGCCCCGCCCCGACTCGTTCCTGGCCTCCGAACCTCCGCCCCGCGTCCCGCGGTACTCCCCGCCGCCCGCCGCTACCTGCCGCCGCCGCGGAGCGGGGCCCGCAGCCCGGAGCCTCAGCCCCGGGGACCGCCGGTCCCCCTCGCCTGCCGCCGCCAAGCGCGTCAGCGCCCGTCACCGTGGCGGCCCTGTGACGGCAGCGCCGCTGGAGCTGCCCCGCGTCCCCCGCCCGACCCTGCCCCGGGAGCGCGGCGAAGGCCCCCCGCCTACCCCGCCGCGGTCAGCGCTCCCCGATCGGTTCGGGCTGGCAGGAGGGGAAGTTCTGGGGGGGTTTTATCTGGATTTTTTGTTTGTTTGTTTGTTTGTTTCGGGTTTTTCCACACACCCCCGACACCGGGCTGGCCTCGCTGGCACTGTGCGGCGCTGGAGACGCTGCTGCAAACGTGGAATTAGCTTGCTCCCACTTGAGGACTCTGCACCTCTCGCTGCTGCGCACCTCCGGGCTTTGGTGTCAGCTGAGCGTCCCCTGGATGAAACCAAGCCTAGAAAACGGATTGTTTGAAATACCTTGTTAAGTTTTTCTACAGAGGAGGCCACGGAGTTGCTCGAGGGCTGGAGCACCTCTCCTACGGAGACATGAGAGAGAGCTGGGGTTGTTCAGCCTGGAGAAGAGAAGGCTCCAGGGAGACCTTAGAGCAGCTTCCAGTGCCTAAAGGGGCCAACAAGAAGGCTGGAGAGGGACTGTTTACCAGGGCAGGTAGGGATAGGACAAAGGGAAATGGCTTTAAACTGACAGAGGGGAGATTTTAGCACTGTGAAGGTGCTGAGGCGCTGGCACAGGTTGCCCAGAGAAGTTGTGGCTGCCCCATCCCTGGCAGTGCTTAAGGCCAGGTTGGACGGGGCTTTGAGCAACCTGGTCTACTGGAAGGTGTCCCTGGCCTTGGCAGAGGCATGGAACTAGAAGGTTTTTAAGGTCCCTTCCAACCCAAACCATTCTATTATTCCATGATTCTACGATAAACCACACAGCAATATTACTTAAACACACACACCACCTCCACATTCATACTACGACACAGACATAGATAGGATTTTTAACTGTTTTCCTAAATTGTTTGGAAATGCCAAAAGTAATCATGACACTGCAGGGACTGTTACAGCTTCTTATTTGCTGTTGGCTTCTGAATTGCTGTTATTGGACAGAGATGCCAGCCAGGCTGGAACAATGGCAAAGCAAGCCTAAGATGGTCCCATGATCAGCATGGGCCCCTGTGCTGTCACTGGGCTGGCACAAGGAAGGTGATTTGGACAAGGCAGCAGCTGCTTGATGAACAGGCCAGGGAAGGGACAGTGAACAAGCAGAGCTGCATCAACCCAGTTCTTCCAGTAGAATATCTAAACATAGTCATACGTTTTTTTCCCCTAGAATGCACATATGGAAGCATGGAGCTGCTCCACATTCAGCAGCTTACTGGGGGCCACAGGTACTGGGTAGGCACATCTGACTGTGAATAAATCAGGACTGCATTGCAGCAGGAAGGGCTGACTCTGTGGGGAACGCTATCAGGACACTCATCAGGACTGCCTGGAGTAAAAGAAATCTCTCTGTATTTAAAAGCATGAGAACCCCAAGCCATGATTTCCAAGTCCTCTTGCTGTTTGCCGCCCACACCTCCAAAGAGGACCCCTCCCCTCTGCCCGAGTGCAGTCCATGTTAGCAATGCATGAGTAACTAGGATGGTGAAGGCAATGCAGAGCATCCCGATGACTGGTGGCTGTCTGTGGTGATGGCAGAGGCGGCCGGGGTCTGCACAAGCTGTCACCCTGCTGCTTTGGGAATTGTCTCAGGGTTTGGCTCCAGGCTGTTCTGTCACCTCTGGAAACACCCCCAAAATGACACTCAAGTGATATATTTATGCCACAAGCACTCTAAAATAGCATGAATACACATTATTTTCCCACATTTTGGTAATTAACTGACAGAACACAGAGAAATCTGGTTTAATTAACTATTTTCTGTAAGTGAAACACTTTTTGTTGTTTTAAGTGAAATACATTCTTATTTTGGGAGGGATTTTCTAGACCCATCTGGGATCCTTCCCCCTATACAGTCCTCAGAAATACATTCTCAGGAAGACGCTGCCATATTTGACTGTGGGAAACCAAAAATTCCCAGTTGTTTTGCAGCCAGCATGGCCCTCTCCAGCAGCTGGCTGCACCAGGAAGTGTTGCTGACCCCATCTCAGGAGAACACCATCCAGAGTGCGTTGTGCAAGGGGGCAATGAGGAGCTCTGGAAGTGCCTCCAGATCTGTCTCGGGCTAGCGCTGCTCAGAGCTGGAGCCAGGAAAGGCACTCAACACAAACCAAGTATTATTCCCAGAAATGTTTTTCATTAGTGGAGCCTCATAACAACAGCAGGGGGTTGCTCATGGTATCAGGAGCTTTGTCTCACAGGTGCCAAAACTGCCTGTGCAAGAGAGGGTGTTTCTCAGGACATCATAGCATTGTTATCATTCATCCTGCGTTGTGGTTGCTTGCACAAAGCCTCACAGATATGAAACATAATGCTGGAGGAATGTCTGGTCTGACCAAGTTACCATGAGTCTATTTCTGTAATCTCCACCTAGAAGCAGTTTATTGAAGACCTCTCAAAAAACTTACTGTGAGATGGAGTCACTGCCAGAAGCAGGAAGTGTTTGGCCTGGTGAATTCACCACCACCGATGATGCTTATGCAACTTTGCTTGATGAAACAGTTGTGTACAAACACAACAGGGTTCGAAAGCAGTGGATGCGCAGCCTGTGGTTTCAAGGGAGGTGGGCAGCAGTGCCAATGGCCTCACTGAATGCAGTTCCAGCCACAGTGCTCAAGGGCTAATGGGCAGTGCTTCAGGGCTTTACCCTGCCCCTTTGCTCCAGTCTTAAGGAAATAATTTTTCATTGAGGCTATACGCCTCGAAGCATCCCAAAATAGAGATATTTTGAGTATTTTATGCAGTATCTTTGAAAACCATTGTGCTCACAAGTGCCGAATAGGAGATCTGTGTGTGCCAGCCCCAGCAGTGCCAGACTCCTCCTCCATGGCAGTGTAGCCTGGGTTGAAATGGTGGCAGAAGCAGAACTCCCCAACTCCAGGCTGTCCAGGGCTGGCTCTGGGCTGGTGGGCAGCTCTGCCGGGGTACCCTGTGTCAGCAGCTGGGTCCCCCTCCACTGGGATCTGGCCTGGGGCAAGATGCTTTCCACAGGGATGGACAGTTTTCATCTTGCTGTTTGCTCAGACAACTCCAGTGAAGGCATGGTTTGCAAAACTCACTCTCGGTTTCTAGGGGTGACCAAGTTGTATTTTGCATTCATTGCTCTGAGCTAAGTCTGAGTTACAAAACACTGCCTCGTTTTGGCAAGAGGGCTGTTGAAGCTTTTTTTCACTGCTGAAGGTACTGACAGTACTAGAGGGCGTGTGACAGCCACTGAGGTGGAGCCTGGGCATGCTGTGGGACAACCACCAGAAGTAGACTTACCAGCATCATGCATTTGCCCAGCCATGCAGATGACCGTGACCTTCCTCGATAACCGGTTCCATATCAGGTGTCGAGCAGTTAGTGAATGCCAGAAAACAAGTTCAGAAAAAAATCTCATGAGAATTCCAGTTATCTCATGGTAAGAGGCTCGTACTGTACTGCAGGCTTCTGAAAATAGTGGTAAAATTAAGGAAAAACAATCATGATAGTTATGAATTTGCAAAACTCGTCATGTATGTGATGGCTGCTGTCATTAGAGGTAAATGGGAGGGAGAATAAACCCATTAATGGAGGATGTTAATTGAAAACAGGACTTGTGTACAGAATGGTGTTCGTAATTACAAGAATAGTTATTAAAATACCATTTTGCTTTTCAAAATGCCTGACTTTAATACAGAGTATGAAGGAGTTATGTTTTTAAAAGTTAATTATTTCCAGTGCTTTGAAAAGGGAAGTCTAAGCTGAAAATGATTTACCAAAATTATTAAGACAGTTTTTTAATTATCCTTTTTAAAACACTGCAGTAGAGTATCGGCTGAGCCTTAGTTTTACTTTCCCAAAGATGTGTGCTTTGCTCCTCCGGGGACCCAGCTCTTCTGCAGGGCTTGCTCTGGAGCTGCAACCTAGGTGCATCTACAGTGGGGAGCACAGCTGCAGTCTGTGGCGTGCCAGGGCTCCCAGGTATCATTTTTGACTTGCTGTTATGGCCTTTCAGGGGTGCTTTGGTCATCCTACCCATGGCAGCATTGATGTTGGCGGCTTTTCTTCATGGTCTCCTGGTCCCAGTGTGTCTGCTCAGGCTCATGCTGTGCTTGCTTCACTGCCTCCTCTCCCAGATGGGTTCTGGCCCATGCCCTGAGGTGCTAGTAAGTTCTGTGCCCAAGGGTCTTCTTCCGTCAATACTTTTTGGAGCCCTAGGTTGGTGGGGATCAGCACTGGGTCAGGCTGGCTGCGCAAGGGGCACCCTCTCCCTCCTTTGGGCTTCCTGGGCTTCACAGCCTCCTGCCACCTCTGGAGGTGCACTCTGGGGAGGACCTGGCACTGCAGCTGCTGCAGTTCCCAGAGTGGCTGCAGACATCTTGCAAGAATCAGGAGAAAACAAAAAGGAGCATTTTTGTGGAGAGTAAATACCGGTTAGAGCTGGGCACATGTCGTGCAGTAAGCAGATCCTTGGCACAGCAAGCTGCATAGCAACATCTGCTGCACTGGTGTCTCCAGCTCATGCATGTGAACTTTAAGTTGTTAACATAAGTACTTACTATAGGGTTCATGTGCATGGAGGTGAACATATCATAAGCTCATGTGCTGTGCACAACCAGTGTGTCTGCTGTGCAGGCTCACTAGATCCTACAGGGATCACAGCAGAAAGCACAGCCTCAAAAATCATGCTGTGAGGACCGCATTTTCCACATCTCCGTAGGTTGCGAGGAGGGTGTCAAAGATTTGACCCCTCTTGCCCTTCCCACAGCACACCACTGATTTCAGCAAGGCTCTGCTGGAATGTGGTGCAGATGTAGCACTTACAGACACCCAGTGGTATGCAAAGTACCTGCTTTCCATGTCCAGTCCATGAAATAATCATGGAGAAACGGGCAAGTAATAAGGCACAATAAATCACATAGTTGTCTTTGAA